TATAGCTAGTTATAATATTATAAGTTATACTTATAATCCTTTAAAAAGCTATTTTCTTATATATAAATATTTAAAGGTATATAATCTAGTGCTTTATAGCTAACTAGTTATTATTAAAGAGATTTCTTTTATAATTTAAGTTTATTAACCTTTTAGTAATAACTAAGACTAGCCTTTAGTTTAAATATATTAATAAGATATATTTTTTTAAGTAGCTAGGCTTATAGCTGCTTATTATAAGTAGCCTTAACTTTATAAAAGGAGGCTATTTTAAGCTACTTACTTTAACTTTTTAAAAGTAGCTAGATATTTAAATTTAATAATAAAATACTATATAAATACTAAATAGTATAGCTTTATTAAGGAGATAGGCTTAGCTGCTGCTATTACTACTATAGTAATAGTAATAGTAATAGTAGTAGTAATAGTAATTATAGTTACTTACTATAAGGAGCCTTTAGCTATATAAGTAATGCCTTTAATTCTAGGTCTTTAAATAGCTTTAATTAATTAACCTACCTTTTATAATATCTTTACTTTTATATTACTATATATTACTATTTACCTTTTTAAAATTAATATAAGAAAGTACTTAGATTTACTAGTAAATCTTATATAAATTTATATACCTTTTAGTTAGTATAGCGCTATTTTAAATTAATAATTTTAGCATAACCTACTTAGTAATTTTAGACTATTTGCCTAGTTAAAATAGGGGTGGCCTATTATATAGATGTTATATAAAGTAAGACCTCTAGCTAAATACGGCCCTTTTAAGTTAAAAGTTATATCCTAATAGAGTAAACTAGTCATGGCCGTTCCATACAGTACGAAACAGTCCCGCATAACTGTTCTACCTTACCTTACTAACTTACCAAGCATCAGCCACATCGGGCGTAACGTTTCTTAGCTATTGATCCAGCTGAGGCTTTGAATGATTACGAAGATCGGTTATCCAAGCACATAGGCATACAGTTAGGCACCATCTAAACCAAGATGCACTTTTCTCGGCATATTCCTCCAGTGTATAACAAGCCTCGTCTCAGCCTCTCATATAGACAAAGATTGTGGCTATTCCCTAGGGACGTCGTCCCAAGAGTCGAACAGACTCGAAACTGTTCTATCCGGCCCCACAGCGACGATATCGAACGAATGCGTAGAGGCAGCGGACGTCCTCTGCCATATGCCCGTATAGAGTGTGTAGTTAGTCCCGTCGACTTTCTGCAAGGGTTTCATAAGGAGCGCTTTTGTTCGAGGGCTGAGGAACAACTAAAGACTTGTCTGTATACAATCCTCGGCATTTAGAACATAATAGACAAAGTTAGCCATAAAAGCGTAATTCCACTCGAAGGGTAAGCTCCACGTACTGCCACAGTCAGATTGAGTTGCATCTGGCTGACACCACCCACAGTTATTACACTCTGACGTGAAAGAAAGTACATTGCCAGAATTTCTTTGGGTGGGGAAAAGCCGGCGCGCCCGGTGTCATGAACTGAGGTTTTGCCCGTTTGACTGTCCGCGATTTCAACAGTGAAAGATGATATGCCGCATTCAGTCGGGATTTTTTGAGGGTGGGACGCAATTCGGGTATCCACACCCTCCCGTTTGTCCCCTAGACGTGGTCGCCTCTGCTATCGGCAATGGGTCACCAGAACTAGACGACAAATGTGCCAAGATCCGCGTTAAATTGCCATTTAGTAAGGTCATCGACAAGCTTCACTTCGTGATATCAGCGTACTATCCGAAGGAGAGGTTTAATGTCTCTCAGTTGGGCATTTCTCGGCACTGTACTGACCATGCGCTCAAACATGGTGCTACAGGTATCAAGGAAAAAGTCATTAAACGTTGCAATTTGTGAGATCATGTCGCCGCCGTCTGCGTTGAAGATACGGAAGTCCGACCGTGTTGTTTCAATTTGCCCAAACGCAAGCGGGTTACGAGATACGTTGGCAATGAACTCTTTGGCCCTGCTACAACATTCACTGTCAGTATTTGGAGACCAATAGCCACTGGAAAGCGAAGGAGATGTTATAATTGAGTCTCACACAATGTTGTCAAAATCGTCTGTGGTTGTATCGAATGTAAGCGTGATATCATTCTTTGACTAGATGCGAGTTAGTGGTTTGGAGTAAGGCTGTAATTACCCAGCCCGTGGGTCCCATGGGCGGCCTAATGGGCTTATCCAGCCCATTAGGTAAGCCCAAAAATAAGTGGGTTTGCCAAGAACCGCCTATTCTTATCTTATCATGCCTAAAAGCGTAGGCAGGAGCCGCCTAAATGCTAAGAGATACCTTTAAGTATGCTATTTTAAATCTACTAAATAATAACTTTTATTATATAGAAAGGTAAAAAAAAATAAAGAAAAAATATAATTAATATTATTATATCTTAATATATATAAAAATATTTTTTTATTTTTTTTTACATATTTTATTTAGCTTTTTTTTAATTAATATAGATTTTAGGTAGAATGTAGGGTAATTAGGCTGGTGGTTATCGCACCTTATCATAAAGCCGCCTAATTTAGGCTAATTTAGGCTCGGGTAATCCGTGGGCTGCCAAGCCGCCCAAAACCTACCCATGGGCTAAATTTTTAGGCTAGCCCATGATTACCCATGGGTTATTGCAACCTTAGTTTGGAGCACATTAGCGGGCCGAAGATTTGTTGGTCAAAGTGTTGGATATACGAACGCCATCGGTTGGAGCAGGGTTTGGGACAATCTCTGGAAGGTCGACACCATGGACGCCTCCAACGGTGTGCCCGCAAGCAACAAGGGCTATCATCTCAGAAGTATCAAATGGTTGTTTCGCAAAATTCGCAGTATGCGTTTGGAGATGCTGCTGGAGCTCTGGGACGCCGGACAGACCCGGACCAGCTGCGTCTACGCGGCCTCCCTTCAACGGAACAATAACTTTTCCTTTAGAACATCCGCCAACTGCCACCACCGTGGCCAATGTAAACAAGTCAGACATCGACACTCTATTGTTGTGGCTACCTTTGAGAATGTTGAGCGTCTCCCGAAACGCGTCACCGACGTTTTCGAGACGATCCATCTCAAAGACGATTGAAGCATCCAGACCGCCAGTTCCGGCAAAGATATCTGGTGTTGACATGTCGTGGTAGGCGTTTGTAATCCACTCTGCACCAAAGCTGCGTCCTATGCCGAGGGCACCCTCAGCCGGGCCGCTGCATCCGTCAACAAATGATGCGAGGCCCCTAGGGGCCATTTAAGGGATTCTCTTGCTCATATACCAGCTTCTCAAGCTCGTCGATCCGTGAGTTTGGCCAGACGTAATTGGCGTTTGCAAGGAACAGTAAAGGGCTGCTTGAAACAGCCCATGCAATTCTACGGCTCCAGGCCATGATGCTGGTTCTAGGTATGAGATCGTGACATTGCGGGAAAAACACTCGGGATACTCTATGACGTCTTGTTGGGCTGACACCGAATTATATAGCTGAAAAATATATCGTGGCCTGATATGATACCTTGATAATCTACTCAATTCAGTTTTCTTGGCAGGAAGCACTGTCTCAGGGTCTTCTGCTTGACCGTTGGCTCGAAGCAGTCAGCTCCTTAGTAACTGTCGGGATTGAGGCATCCTGTCAGTGGGTTGCAAGGGATCTGTGGATCTCAGTGCCTGTCCTTCGTTTGTAAAGCGCAATACTACGAAGTCCGCCGTTGGCCAGCTGTTCCTTGTAGTATCGCCCTAACTCTATGTAGCAGGACTAATACCACGCAACATCTTATCCTCAGTACTAATTGGCTCAGCCAACAGGGACGCATATGCGATAGGCAATTCTTACCTGATTAGCGGCACACTGCGACCTCTACGAACTCAGATCGTTAAGCTTACGCTTGGATCATGTTTCGTGTTAAGCTTACAAGAATGCTTATACCTTAGTCCGAGAGCCTGATCAGGCCGCGTGTGCACATTTCAGAAGCGAAGCGCTTTACCACCCACTCCACTGTGACCTGGATCATTTCTAGGAGGAGTGTCTGACCAACAGATATGCAATGAGTAGCTCATAGAATGAACATATGAAAGACGTGCGAACTGTTACAGAATAACGGCCCGTCAATAAGAACGCTGGTTCGTTCATTTCACAGCTCGAAGGGTTGCCAGCACAGCTATAATTACCAATCTATTTTGCTAACCATCTCGTAACCCCAACTTTAACAAGGCCAAGATACCAATGTAAGGTCACACTTATCAGTCGTGATTCAACCTTTTGGACGTCAGATGATCCCTGCAGCTACCCAACTGAGACTCAAATGATGGGGTGTCTTGCGTGTTGCAATGTCCTATCCCAAGACCGCCGATCCTCACGCCATACGAAGTAACGGTGGCTTACAGTTCCAGAGACTGCAGAACCGGACAAGGCTTGGACAAAGATTGAAACCAATAACGCGTTGCGTTGTTGTCTCGCTCTAGCCAGATTCGCGAAAGAAACTGTTTTGCTGCTCGTTGAACCGTCGGCATGAAGTGATCCACGTATTTATCAACGTTCTCCAATGCCTGGACTCGCGAGCCAACATCTTGAATCTCGACTGCTGCAACAAGATATGGCAATGTCACACAGCGACAAGGCTGCTTCGTTGCCCAGTTGGCAAGCTCAAGCTCCAACATGATCTCGTTGGACCAGATGCGCGCCTGGCCATCTTCGCGGCCGAAAGGGTATCGTAGCCGATGGCCCACCAGTAGTGCTGCCAGCCGGTATACCTTTGCTTGAGCCAGCAAGTTGACCAGGTCCACTGTTTCATATCGTTGGGACACATTGCATAGGGGAGGCGGCCTCCAGCCCTCCACTGCAGTTCGTATTTCATCGAGCTTCTTGTGAAGCTGTACCAGGCACACCGTGTCGAAGCTGTTTGCCATGCAATGACCGATAAGACAGAGGTCGTAATAGTATGGTAACAGTGACAAACAGACTCCAAGATGACGGCTCACGACTTTTGTTTCCTCAGACGGAAACCTCTGTGTTGGCTTTCTGCAGTGAACCAAGCAATCGGCAGTGTCCAGCAGCACAAGAAAGCTATACTGCGACACCGTATCTTCATCCCACAATATCGCTGCATCCGTAAATGCTGCGGTAGTGCTCAGACAGTGTTGACAGATCTCGGCTACGCCGAGCCCCGATAAAGAATACACTGATAGAACTAAGACAGTTCCGAGTGTGAGACATACTGTCGATTCCTGTGCATTGGTAGCGTGCAATAACCGCAGCATCCCGATGGCTGATGACGCATAGCGATAGCTATCGTTCATTCTTATCACATCTGATGCCGTATCTTGCTGAGTCAATTGGAGAGTCCCTGCATAGGCAAGATAGGCGTCTTTGAGGAATGGCATGGCTCTGGGTAGAAGAGCTGCTAGCAACCGATGCTCCGCTTCTTCGAAGCTGGAACTAACCAGATGATGGCCGAAGTTCTTGGGCTGGCTCAGGAGAGCCCTCAGCAGCTCTTTCTCTTGCAAGTCGATCTTGAGTCCATCTGTAACCCACTCATCAATAGGCAAGTTCTGCTGCGTCACCATGCTGGATGTGATTGAGTCGGATGAGGTGTCTCCAGGGAGCACCCTGCCCCAGTTCTTTGGTCTGCGGCCAGCTGCCCGAATTGGTCGATTTATCGAGCAGACGAACGTCAACCGATCACATCTCGTGCAGGAAACGCCGCCAGCTGAGCGATCACATCGTTCTTTCAGCTTGTAGCACCGATCACATGCAGTTCTTGAGTTGTGTCGTTTGAGCATAGTGGTCACTATTTGCTCAAGTCCAATCTGTGCGGATGAGATGCGAAGTCGACCAAGTGTCGTTCCTCGCGCCAGTAGAGAAGATAATAGCGACAAGAAGTACGATCCTCAACAATTCCCCACCCCCACGCTTAGAGAGAGGGTTCCTATTCGCTGCCGATTGTTCCACATTTACCCGCCGGAAGGTTGACCGGAGGTTTAAGTAGCCGATTATTTCCATGACTGCGCGTATAGTAAACAGGTTAACCGTACCAAATAGAGGACCGGAACCGGACCATTGTGAGTGTGCGATAGATCCAGGTTATATGACGGAAAATGATAAGAGAGGCATGAAAGGCTTCGCGAAAAGATGGTTATAGTAGAAGCAGGGGGCATATATAAACCGCGCTGGTAAAAGTTGAACGGGAGAATACACATCTCCCTATTCTTTTTTCCTTCCAACGCTCAGAGACCTTACTCATTGCTCGCTCATACGGAACAACGGTTGCGATGCCTCAAAAGGATTATGAAGCTATTTCCCATGCAAAGCGGCTGCAAAGAGGTGGGAACATTCCCAGGGAGTGGACTTTTGACCCAAAGATTCATCAAGGCATCGATCTTTTGGATGTGCCAATCACCTGTGGCCTGTTGACTGATGCCGAGATTGATATCACGTCCAAATTTGACGCAACAAGCCTTTTGAAGGGTCTTAAAGCTGGTATTTGGTCTGTTGAACAAGTGACTACAGCTTTCTGCAAACGAGCGGCTATTGCCCAGCAGCTAGTAAGCTTGCATCACTTATTTATGGTCACAGTGGCATGTCTGGCTGATCAAGTCTACTCAAATTTTCCAATAGGTAAACTGTCTGACCGAAATATTCTTCAACGAAGCCATTGAACGTGCTCGCCGGCTTGATAAACAACGATATGCCTGTACGGACGTCAAAGCACTTCCACCTCTCTTCGGTCTGCCAGTGTCACTCAAGGATATTTTTGCGGTCAAGGGGCATGATACATCGACTGGTTTAGCCTGCTATGTCAATGAGCCAGCAGAGGAGCACAGTGCCATAGCCGCCATGCTACTTGATCTTGGCGCCATCCTTTACTGCAAGACAAACGTTCCGCAGTCGGTCATGACCGGAGACAGCCACAACAATGTCTTTGGCAGGACTCTCAATCCGCGGAATGTATCTTTCACGGCGGGTGGTAGCACAGGTGGTGAGGGTGCACTGCTTGCCCTTAGAGGAAGTGTCCTCGGGGTCGGTACTGATATAGCTGGAAGCATCCGTGTCCCGTCCGTCTGTAACGGAACATATGGAATGAGGCCGAGTGTAGGCCTTGCTCCCCACAATGGTACGCGAGAACTCACAGTACCGGGCACGGATGGGATACGATCGACCGTTGGCCCGATGGCAACCACGCTTCGGGACTGCGCCCTCTTTCTTAAAACCATCATGAAGGCTGGAACCTGGCGATACGATACCAGCGTCATATCGTTGCCATGGAGAGATGCCAAGCCTAAGATGAGGCTGCGTATTGGTCTAGTCGAAGATGATGGTGTTTACACTCCAGTTCCACCTGTGAGGAGGGTTATGAAGAAGGCCGCCGCTCTGCTTCGAACGAGTGAAAATGTTGAAATAGTCCCCTTGGCTCTACCGAATGTAAAAACTTATTATGCGGATCTTCTAAGCTATTTTACTCTCTCAGGGAGTGAGGTAAGTCAACCCGTTGCTCTCTCTCTATGGAAAAGCTTCTGACTCGAGCCACACAAAGCACTACCTTGAGCAGTTTGGCAGAACGGGAGAGCCGGTAGTGCCATCGTTGGCAGCGCTTGGCCTGCTGTCGAAACCGGCGGCAACCCTCAAGAGCTTCTTCGATTTGAACGTTCGCCGAGCAGAAGCTGCAAGGACATATCTTCGACTTTTTCTCGATAACAGCCTGGATGCGATCCTCATGCCTGCAGCGCCGCATACTGCTCTACCCTGGGATACTTGGACCAACGCGACGTACACGGCGTTGTGGAACTACCTTGACTACCCGGCGGTTGTAATCCCTATGGATGTTGTGACAGATTCAGACTCAATGGACGACCCCAACAACGCAAAATATGGACCGAGCGATATGGAACTTTATAGACAGTGTATGTACAACCATGATGGCCGGCTAAGTACTTCGACCTCGGGAACTGACGCGTTTCTTTCTCAAATAGACACGGGACCTGAGCACTACAAGGGCCTTCCGATCGCGGTTCAAGTAATTGGCTACCGACACCAAGACGAGGAACTGATTGCAGCGGCGGAAATCCTGGACTCAATCATCAATGGCAAGTCGTAGGCAACACAGCCGTGGATAGGTGGCGGTAGTGAAAATGAGACTGGATACTGGATGTCCAACGAGGGAGGATCAGACGCGCACTCGTGTCCCAAGGAAGGAAAATCAAAGACACTGGTCACTTTCTGCTTATCTGCGACCCCCTCTTTCAGCCACGCTTCAAGTTCATAGAGAAATTGCCCATGCAGAGTAGTGCGGTGCCTTTATTAGGAGTAGATGCATATGTTATAGCCTGCTTGCCTGCCGTGTAGCACAGATTCGTTGAGTACGATTATGCCCTAAATTATATAACGCCGGTGTAACTGAACTTCCATCTTCTCGGCTACTACTCCGTATAGCGGTATCAGTTACTACAATGACCCCTTGTCCAACTAACCATCTATCACGTGCTCTTCTGTATGTATGCTCCATGGTCATTCACCTGCCAATAATCCTGACTTTGTCATCGACCCAGCGTCTTTCCAATACTCTCCGCCAACGGACCTTGGCACATCGAGCATGAAGCTGCCTCGAACGAAGAATGGCCGCCCCGTTGCGTGTGAACCATGCCATCGACGGAAATACGCATGCGATCGTGCTCTTCCAATATGCCAACGCTGCCAGCGTAGTCGGATGAAACAACAATGCAGATATATTAGCCGCACTCCGCCGAGTAACCAGACATCAACTCTCCAGTCCGATAATTGCGCGATTGCCGACACCCATTCGTTGCGGATGTGTCTCGCTGAAGGGGCGCCACAGCTGGTAAACGCTCGGCAAACTGTTGAACTAGCACGCAGCTCCTCACCATTGAACCTCACGAAAGTCAACGGTTGCTTGCAAGTGCCCAGGAGACCCTTGAAACTCTAAAGTCTCATGAGCACGCGTTTCCGGCTGTGAGCAACGAGGACTTACAGACAGCTCTGAATATCTTGGATAGCCTTCCTGGTCCTGAAGCTGAACGTATACTCGCTAAACCTCACATTAATCCATTCGATGGCTGGATTCCGTTATCAACAACAGGACTATTGGCCGAGCTGAGAAGTACCTTTTCCTCCGCGTTCAGAAGCGACAGAGAACATGCCACAGTCCTTGCGCTAATCATCTTTTCGAATACTGCGCAAAGATGCCCCCACACCCGGGGGGATTCAACGGAAGACTGGCTTATTCTTCTTTCTGGCCCAAGTCTAAGGTGGGAAACCATTGGCCTGCTGTTCAGCAGCTGGGCACTTGCTGCTCTGCAAAACAAAGAAGATATTGATTAGTATCGGCCGAGGGTCCTAGCTCTCAGGTTTTACGACATAATGGAGAGCTGTATCCGATTCTGCCAAGGAAATTCAGCGGATAATGTGTTATTGGTCTATCTCTTATACCGCACAAGTATCGTTTCATCAATGTTGCATGGTAATGATAGTGAGTCTCCCTAAACTCCGTCCAGCGCCATTCATTTGCGCTAAAAGGCCTTTTAGATGCCAACTTTTGGCGCTTTCACTCGGGAACTGTCTCTTTGGCTTGTGCAATGCGGCTGGATGCCATGTCCGATTCATCCATACAAGATCGCCTCATATCTAAGCAGTCGGAGCGTCGTCTGTTCACGGCCATCTATGTCCTGGATAAGGCGGCTGCGTTCTTTGCTGGGAGATCGCCGCTGTTGGCTTCGCACCGAGGCACTACGGCTTTGCCTTTGGACATATCAAACGCCATTCTCGTACGCTGGGAGGCTGGCAACAGTGCAGAATTTGACTCGCTAGGCATCGACGACCATACAAGTGGCAGAATCTACCCCACAACCAGTCTTCGAGCAAGAGGGCTCATAGCTCGCATTCGAGAAGATATTTTGGCTATAGCCTTAAACATGAGGCAAAGAAACCCACTTGAATTGATGTGAGGGCTTCAATGAGCATGCCGGAATGACAGGTTTGCGTTGAAAGGCTAATGAGGCATTTATCATCTAGTAACTTGAGATTGAAGGAGGTAAACACTTACAACCACCTACCTAGTCAGCTACGATTGGCTGCTGGAGACAAAACCCTCGAGGGTATTGAACCTCAAGCTCTATACACAAAGCTTTTCATCAAGCTGGAACACCTGCAAAATCTTTTTCTCATCGAGAGAATACTACAAAAAGCTCAGCCAAATCTCTCTTTAGGCGATCTGATTCAGAGAAGCCTGGAAGTTATATCAGCGACGGTTACATTCTGGACTCGAAATGATATCTTGGTCGGCATGGAAGGCGACCATGAGTGGTTCATTATGGGATATGCTGTTCCAGCAGCAGTTGCTCTCTGCGAATGTCTC